AGGGATTTTCTTCACAGGGGCAGTGCGGTAAGAAAGTGCCGGCTGCCTGCAGAGAGCAATAGATGCTCCTTGCTTCCACAAGGCTGGAGCATCCATCTCCTGGCACGCTGGAGATCCTGCTCGGCCCCACGGGAAGCCAGGCAGGCTGACATTTTGGGAATGGTTTTCATCCCTTCCCATGGGGTGGGTGTATTAAAGCACAGGGTGGGAGATCCCCGCTCCCCCACGGGAGAATGGGGTGGGAGCAGGGCTGGGCCTGGGGTGATGCTGGCAAGGGACAGATGGGGTTCCCCTGTCCCATTCCTTGAGGGAACAATCTCTGTGTCCCAACCCCTTTCCAGCACCTGGGGGAGACTGTCACAGCTTTGAACTATCTGGGCTCCTGTCATGACCCCTTCTCCTCCCTCCCGGCGGGCTGGGGCTCTCCTACCTGGATGACTCTCATGTTGAGGCCGGTCTCCTGGGCCAGCTGCTCTCGGATGTGGCGGGTGGGTTTGGGGGTGGCAGCGAAGGCAGCTTTGAGGGTCTCCAGCTGCTTGGCTTTAATGGTGGTGCGGGGCCCCCTCCGCTTGGTGCCCGAGTTCTGCTCCTCGTTCTCGTTGTTGGTGGTCTCCTTGTCCGAGGAGGTCGAGTTGTCCGTCTCCTTGGTGTCGTCCTGCATGGGGTCCTGGAGATCCGGGGACAAACTCCTGTCTGTACATGAGGACACTGTAAAGGAGACCCGGAGAGGAAAGGAGGGGGGTGGATGACTTAGGGGAGAGATTGACCCCCCTCTCCTCTGCCCTCCTTGGCCCATCCAGCTCAGTTGCTTTTCAGGACAGGGGCTGGGGGGTGCTGGAGAGCAGTGAGGGGTGCAGATGGCATCTGCCCCCCTGATACCCCTAAAGCAACATCCCCCCAACATCACGCAGATCTCCAGGCAAAGCGCTGCCCGATCCAGCTCTGTGCACCGTGTCATGCCAACCGGGGGGAGCTGGGGAGGGGGTGATCCCCCAAGCCCACCGCAGACCCCCGCTCTCCCCCTCTCCCCCCTGCGCCTTTTACACTGGGAAGCGGGATGTGCCACTGGGAAAAATGCCACCGTGCCCCGTCGGGATTTGGGGTGTCCCAAATCACTGCCTTGAGCCTGGCTCACCCCCCGCCCCCAGCCACCGAAACCCCCCCGGGGACCCTGCAGCCAGCGACCCCCCAAGGCCAAGCTCTACTCGCCTCGCTCACAGCAGCGGCCCCACTGACTGGCGTGGCAGGATCCGGCCCCGGGTGCTGGACGGAGAGAGAGCCCACGGAAGGGGGTGAGCAGGGGCGCCCGGCATGGCTGGGACAGCAGGAGGGGGCCTGGCCCTGCTCTCCTGACGCAGAGACAGCTTCCAAGGAAGTCAAATGGGAGCTTTGCCTCTGGGTGAAAGGAGGCGAAGGATCAGGCCCACGGCGCGGGGGGACCGGGCACACTCGCAGGGGGGCTCCGGGGCAGGGGTCCTCCCGAACCAGCCAGGGGGGTGGTCCTGGTTCCCCACCGCCCCCCATCCCCGTTGCCGTAGGGGCCGTGCGCGGGGCAGGAGCCAAAAGGCGGTGGGGGGGAAAGCTCATCCCACGCGGGGCCGCATCCCGCGGGGGAGGGGGGAGGATGTCACAGAGGCTTCCGCCCGCTTTGAAAGCTTTCACCCCAAATCCCTCCCTCCCCTTAGCGGATCAACTGGCTGTGGGGTGCAGTCCCTCATCCCACAAATCCAAACCTCCTTCCCGGCCGGGAGATGCCTCCGCCGGGAGGTACCGGCAGCTCGGGGCTGCTGCCCGGCGGGCTCGGCGCTGCCCGCTCCTGCCGGTGCCGGTGGCAGGGATTACCGGGGGGGTCACGCTGGCCGCGGGGTGCAGCCCCTCACCCCACGAATCCAAACCTCCTTCCCTGCCAGGAGGTGCCTCCACCGGGAGGTGCCGGCAGCAGGGACGGTGCGGTGCGGCGGGCTGAGCCGCTCGTACCTGAGTTGAGGCTGCCTTCCTTCAAACTGGGAGAGTTCAAATAATCCTCTTTGCAAACAAATTTGTTCTCGTCGATGATATACAGTTCCTCGCCCGTGGAGAGCTGCTTGTTGCAGACCATGCAGGTGAAACAGTTCAGGTGAAAGACTTTATTCCGGGCTTTCCGGACGAGGTCGCTGGGGGAGATCCCTTGGGAGCAGCCGGCGCATTTGGTACCAAACCTCCTGGGAAGGGGGAGAAAAGCGAGAGCTGGAGCCCTGGCGGCGATGGGCTGTGCGTGAGCTGTACCGACACCCCTTTCTCAAATCCCACTGCGGGAGCCCGATCCTCCAGGTCTCTCCCTGGAAGATTTGGGGGAGCAGGCGATTGTCACCTTTGGGGCGAGGATGAGGAAAACCTTCATCCCCGTGCAGCCCCGGCATTAGGCTGTGGGGAGAGCGCGGGTCTGGGGTGTCCCCGCATGAGCATCCTCACCCGGATTTGGCCCCTGAAGGGACGGAAGGGAGGGAGAGTGGCGGGGAGTCCCTTCCCCGCTCCACAGGGGAGAATTTCGTTTAAGCTGGTGCCCCCCGGGAGGGGAACGGAGGGCTCCGGCCTGGAAATTCCGGGGAGAAAACGGGGCTGATCATGGGTAAAGAGACGGAAAAAGGGAGAGGCGGGTGCTGGGGGCAGCGCGTACCCAGAACAACGGGCGGAGGAGGGGGCTGAGCTCCTCAAGGCAGCCCAGGGTCCCCAACGCCGCGCCTGGTCCCCAACCAGTCCCGCTCTCCAGAGGGGCAATTGTTTCAGGTCGGGGAGAGCGCTTTGGAAATCTCCTATTTTCTTTTGCTTCCCAGAGCGGGTTTGTTTTTTTTTTTCTTTTGTTTGTTTGTTTGTTTTTCATCAGGAGGTTTTTTGTTGTTTTTTTTTTTTTTAATATTTCCAGGGAATCTGAATCAGCTGGGAACGATAAAAAAAAAACAAAAACAAAAACAAACCCAAAAAAACAACAAAAACCCCACAAAAAACCCCAAAAACAAACCACGCAAAAAAAAGCCACAAAACCTACAAAACAAAACAAAATCAAAAAGCTCTCAAAAAACCCCAAACAAACCCCAACAAAACAAAGACAACAAAATAAAATAATAAAAAAAGAGATAAAAAAAGAAAACAAAGGAAAACAACAAAAAAATTCCAACCGACAAAGCCCAAAGCAAACAAAACCGAAAAGAACAACAACAACAAAAACCCGAAGCCCAAACCAACCAACCAAACAAAAAAAAAACCCACAGAGACAAAAAATCTGCCTTCAGAATCGGGAGCAGGGGGTGTCGCTGCCGGGTCCCGGGGGCTGCCAGGCCCCGGGCTCCAAGAAGGGTCCCCCCTTTTTCCCCTCCGGCCGCGGCACAACTTCTGCCTCCCTCGCTGCTCCCCGTGACGTTGATGTAGTGAGAGTATTAGGAGTCATAAGTCATTGGCCCCCTCCTTCCCATCCCGGCCCCTAATTTCCTCAGCGGCACCTTATCGCGGTCATTAGGGGCGTTTAAGATGCGGGTCCCCTCGGGGGGACGGTGGGGGAGGTTTTGGTCACTGATTTTACCGGGGCCTGTGGTCCCGGGAGGGGGGCGAGGAGCACCAGGCCGGGTGGGGGGACACACGGGGCCGCAGCCGCGGTGCCTGACGCGACGGGGTGAGCGGTGGCACCGGCAGAACGGGGCCCGGGGCTCTCCGAGGAAGGTCATGGGGAGATTGGGAAGCGGGGGAACAGCCTCGCAGCCCCTCCTCAGGCTGCAGCAGCGTCCGCAGCGCAGCCGCCGGGTCCTCCCCTGGGCTTCCCCGGGCCAGAGGCTCCTGCCCCGTGGAGCGGCGGGGAAGGCTTGGTGTGGAGCCCCGGCAGGGAGGGACGGGAGAGGACCCCGCCGAGCTCCCCCAAAGCTCCGGGGAGACCCCAGGGAGGCAGCAGAGGCCACGCGCGTTGAGAATCTCCGCGCCCTCCGCTGCCCGTTGGCGGGGTTGGAGTGGGGGGTGACGACTCACCTGAAAAAGTCATTTTTGCAGTAGAGTTTCCCTTCCCTGGAGAAGCATTTCTCGGTCAGGTTGCACTTGCACTCGCAGCACTGGACGCATTTGATGTGCCATGCTCTGTCCAAGACGTTCAGTAGGAACCGGTCCAAAATCGGCCTCTCGCAGCCCGCACAATGCACCATCATAACCTCCGCCGGGGGATGGAGACGCGCAAAAGGAGAAGCCAGACCCGTGCCGGCACACGGCGGCGGCAAAAAAAAAAAAAAAAAAAAAAAAAAAAAAAAAAAAAAAAAAAAAAAAGGGAAAAAAAAAAGAAAGAAAAGAGCAGAAGAAAATAATAATAAAATAAAATATTTAAAAAATTGTAGGAAAAATAATAAAATAAAAAACTGTAATAAACCAAAAATAAATTAAAAGAAAAAAAAAAAAGGGAAAATAAAAAATATAAAATAAAACAAAATAAAATCAAATGAAATAAAAATTAAAATTAAAAAAATATAGAAGAGGGAATAGCAAAAAATTCAGGGGAGGGGAGCGGGGCGGCTGTCAAGTTCTTCCCCCTCTTCTCTCCGGAGCCTCGACGACGGGAGGGAAAAATCGACGCCCCCCCCCCAAATAATCCAAACCACCCCCGAGAAATAATAATAACAATAATACTAAAAGCCCCCCCAAATCCCCCTCCGGTGCCTGCGGAGCGGCCCGGGAGCCGCCGGAGCGGCGGCCGCGCTGCTGGCGGGCTCTGCGGCAGCGGGCGCGGCGGGAGGGGTGCATGAACCCCCCCCTGCAGCCGGCAGCCCCGGTGCCTCGCTGTGCTCCGCCGCCGCCGCGCCGCCACTCTCATGCTGTCCCCATCGCCAGCTTTGTCCCCCGCCTTAGTAATTCGCGCATCCTTATTCAGATTTGGTGACGTCGCGGGCCGCGTCACCCGGGATGCTGCCAATGGCAGGCCGGTAGCCATGGCAACCTCTTAATTTATAGCATATCTAAATTGGCTCCAGCCTTGTGCTTGGCACAGAGGGAAAAAAACAACGCGCCTCTATTGTTGAGGGTGGCTTGTACCTGGGCCGCGAAGTGAGTACGCACCTGGCTGGGGGGCCTGGGGAGGGCACCGCCAAAAAATAGCCATCCCACCGTTTTTCCTTCGATTTCTATTTTCATTTGTTGTTTATTTCTTTTGAAGGAATGCTCGGGGAGGAGTCGGGGGGTCCCGAGTTGCTCCGGGGGACGGCATCACTTGGTTTTGGGGGTTTATATTTGTTTGGCGCAAGGGGGAAAGAGGCTTTTGTCTGGGAGAGCAACAAGTGGGGAAAAAAAAGAGAGCGGGTGGATTTTGGTGAGGGGGGAGTGTGTGAGGAGGGGTTGATGGGAACGAGGAGGGGGCCGAGAGCTCCTTCCCGCAGCGTAGCGGGATGAAAAGTTCCCTTGGAGGTATGCGGGCCCCCCGACCACCCCCCCGCCTTTGTCCCACGGGCCCGCCGTCCCCCGCCCCTTCCCCGCTGCGAGGGGGAGAGGGGCAGGGGACGACCCGGGGGGGTGGCCCGGGGGGCAGCGGGCCCTACCCCCTCCCACACTGTGTTTTCTCTTTAATTCCAGGTGCGGCGGAGCTGTGACCCGCGGGAGGGATGGGGGACAGGACCGGACCCGACCGGGGGAGGTTGTGATGGGGGGAATCCATCCTTGGCTGGGGGGCTGCTGCCCCATCCAGGGGCTCCGACTGGGATCCGTGTGGGGGGCTACCCCGCTGCCTCTCCCTCCATTTCCCGGGGATTTAGGGAGGGGATGGGGTGGCCCTGGGGTCCGGCCGTGTGGGGAAGAGGAGGAAGGTGGCGGGGCAGGTAAAGGCCGGACATCCATTCCCCTTCCTCGTCTTTTTCTCCGGCTAAAATCTAAATTTTTTATATAAAAATATATATGTACTTTTTTTTTCCTTCCTCGCTCCGACCCGGAGCACTTCGCGACCGCGGAGCGTCCTGGAACCGGGAAACGCTCCCGATACTGGCAAAAAAAAAAAAAAAAATCCACCCCAAAATCGTATCAAATCCTCCACGGCACAAGGGAATCGGCGGGAAGTGGAGGACGTTTTGTATGTGCCCGTGGGCTTTTGTGGAAAGAGCGAGAATCGAATTAAGAAAATACAGAGAGAGAAGAGATTCGGGGGGGAAAAAAAGAGAAGGAAAAGGGAAATAAAGAGAGAAACACACACACACACACACACACAGAAGGAAAAAGAGAAAATTTGTGCTGAAAAACATACGGAGAAGGGGACGGGAAGTAAAAGAGAGAGTGAAGAAAAATAAGTCAACGGAAACAAAAAAGAAAAGGAAGGAAATAAGATGAAACAGAAGGAAAAACAATAGAAGAGGAAGGGAAAATAAAAGAAATTAAAATAAGGAATAAATGAACGAAAGAAAAATATAGAAATAAATAAGAGAAGAAATAAGACGAGAGAAAATGAAGAAAAAAGAGGGAAAGGGGAAAATTAATTAAACCGAGGAAAGAAATAAAAAGAAAGAACGGCGTAAAATGGAAAAGAATGGAAACCAAGAGGGAAGCGCGAGGGAAAAGCTCCAAACCGAGCGAGCAAGGAAGAGGAGGAAAAAGAAATAAAACAAAGACAGAAGGAAAAAAAATCCAGGGAAGAGAGAATAATGGAAATTAAAACTGCGGAGGGCTAAAAAGGGGAGAAACGGGCAAGAAAGGCGAAGGCATGGGAGGGAGGAGGAGAAGGGACCGGACTCGTGACCGATCGCGGCCGCGCTCCCAGCCGGGCTCTGCCCAAGTTCGCGGGATTCCCTGGTCTCTTCTGGGGGGGCTGGGAGCCGCGGGACTGTGTGGGGGTATGCGGGGGCCTCTCTTGCCGCAGCCTCCACGGATTTCGAGACGAGACCCGAGGGCAGCGTCAGAGCGGGGACAGGGCACCGGGAGCACCGGGCAGGCCCCGCTCCGGCCCCGCACCGCAGACAAAACCCGCGCGGCTCAAATACACCGGGATGAGTGGATGGAGCGTATGGAGCGTATGGAGAGCCGCGGAGGCACGCGTGTCGGTGTGGAGGAATATGCCCTCACACAGGACCGGCTCCACACGCACACGCGTAGCCCGTGAGCCCGCGGCAGAGCCGCGCTCGCAAGCACCGCAGGCTGCTCGTCCCGCACAGGAACGCGGGCGCGGGGGCGGCTCGGGGTTGACCCACTGAGTGCGGGACTCTGTGTGTCTGTGTGTGCGTGTGTGTGTGTGTGTGTGCGCCACGTCCCGCGCCGTAACGCGCGGATAATCGATGGATAATCATATGGATAATCTTTGTTGGTACGGATGATCCACAAAGGGTGCAGGAGGCGACACCCGCACCTTTGCTTGTGCCCACGCACTCGCGTTCCTCTCCCGCGGCCTTGCGCGCCCCCGTGTCCTGCTCCCACGGCCCTGAACACACCCGTGGGCCCCTTCCTGGCCGCCCGGTGCTTCCCCAGCCCGCCCCGCTACCGAGCCGGGACCCCCAGCTGGGGACCCCCATGCGGGAGGACGATGCCGGGGGGTCCCGCTCCCCGCGGCCGCGCTCGGCTCCCTTTTTCGTTTGAAAGTCAAGGAATAAATAAATCCAAGGGGAAGGGGAGGAGGGGAAAAAAAACACCTCACAAGCCCCAAGCAACACCTCCCCCCCCCCCCAAACCCACATTCCCCCATGGTAACAGATGGTAATTCAGGCCCCATAATACCGCCTATATGTAACTAATAAACCTTTTGTGTTTTAACAGGGTAATGCGTGGAGAAGCAGCGTCGCTTATACAAGATGTTGATGGAATTTACTATATTATTAAAGGAAAAAAAAAATCCCCTTTCAAGAATAAAGTGTATCAACTTACAACACAACAGACGGCAGAGGGATAAGTGAAACAGACAAAAGACAAACAAGATAATAATCTGTTTCCAATCAGTTAAGCCCTGTAGAATTTGTAATACGCGGTTTGCATATTCCCCCTGTGTTTTGTAATTAATTATCTATCTGTTCGGATGCTCCGCCGCCGACTTTGTAGATATTTCCAACTATTTTTGGGATTGTAGGCGGCGACCTACGCGGTGAAAAGGAGCGCTGAGGAGCGGGGAGCGGGGCCCGGCTCCGCGGATCCTCCCGGCCCGAGGATGCCGAGCCCGGGCGCCGTGGGAGGCGTCGGCTCCGCGCCGCTCCGCGCTCCTCCGGCGGGCGAGGCTGCTCCCCCCGCGCTCCCCTCCTTTCCCCCGGTAAGAGGGGGGACGGGGCAGGTTTTAACATTAAACAAACCCAGCAAGCATCTCCTCGCCGGGCCATAGGCGTTTCTGAGTGACTGCGTTACAAATTGTAAATTTAAATAGCTCACAGGATTCATTACCTCCCGCGTCTGATTTCACCCAGCCGTGAAAAATTGTCCTGGTGTACCACTGAGAAAGGGTTTGCTGCAAAGAGCCACAGTCTAATCACCAGCTTTCTCTCGCCAACAAAAGTGTAATTATTTTGTTTTGGGTGTAAATATAACCCACGGTACAAAAAAAAAAAAAAAAAAAAAAAAAAAAAAAAAAAAAAAAAAAAAAAGAAAAAGATAAACCTCCAGCAGTGTCTGAATGCATTACAGGGCTGTTTAAAAAGATCCGTCCTAAATTAATACCAAGGTTAAAAGGGGAAGGCAGCTGGGACATGGAAATTTCCGTATTATTGGGGCGGGGGGACACGAGGTGAGTGTGAGTGTGTGTGCGAGTGTGCTTGTTCACAGCACCGGCGAACAATGCGGCACCCCCGCCCCGCGCACAAAGCCCCACGCAGCCCCCACGGTGCCAGCCGAGCCCCCCGACCCACCACTCCTTCTCCCCCTCCTCCCCATCCCACACCAGGGGTCCAAGGAAGGTGCTGGGGAGAGGGGATGCTCCAGCTCTTTGCTCTCCACGGGTGTTTATGGAATCGCCGGGGGGTGTGAAAAAGAAAACAAACAAACCAACCCCCGCAACCCCACCGCGGTCCAAATGCAAACGAACAACCGGGGGATTTTTAATTTGGGTTTTCCCCCCGTTTTCTTATTTTTAACAAATTTTTTGTTTCCTTCCCTCCGAGCTCCGGCACGGGGTTTCGGTGAAAGAAAAGGCACAAAACGAACGGCGATGCCGGCAACAGGGAGAAACCCCGGGAGAGGCGGAGCGGCCGCGGGACCGGGCTCGGCTGAGGTGGTTTAATGGGGAAAAAAAAAAAAAAAAGGAAACAAACCAAATCACACACACGGGGAAAAAAAAAAAAAAGGAAAAAATCCCAAACAAAAGTGAAGACACACCAAAAATCTCGGGCGGGGGCAGAGGAGCGAGTACCGCCGGCGGCCAAGGAGCTCGGAGACCCGTCGGTGCTAGCTCGGCGCGGAGCGCGGCCCCCAGAGCGCCTCGACACCCCCCGGGACCCCTGCCCGGCAGGGGCTGCCGCTCTGGGGTTTGGGGAACAGCCAGAGCAGACCGAGACGCCGCTTCTCCCTGCTCTCCTCGACCTTTCCCCAATCGCCCCTCGCCCCACCACCGCCGTTTCAATCAGCACCCCCCCCCTTTTTTTTTTCCCCGCTGGTAGTGGTAATTGGCGAAGCTTTAATTGCTCCCCCATCCCCTCCTGGCTCCGGCACTATCCTGGGGCCGCATTCCCACCTTCCCGACGGCTCCCCGGGGCTAACCCGCCCCCGGCTCGGGGTCCCGCGGCTGCCGCTCCCCGCGATACCGAGTCGCGGGTGGGCAAAGCCTTGCTGTGAGCAGGGTGTGCTGCGATAAAACGAAGCGGAGACAGCCGAACCCAGACCTTCGGAAACTTAGTGACTTGAGGGGCACGCGGCAAAGAACTCGCTCCAAATTTCCTCGGGTTATCCCCGGCCCCGCTACAACCTCCCGTCGATGCCACCGCCCCCGGAGGGCTGCTCGAGCCGTTCCCACCCGCTCCCCCCGCCGCCTCCCCGCTAATGAGCGTGTGTGTTGACACGGCGAGGCGATGCCCCCGTTTGCTTTTGTTTGGGAGGTGTGAAGAGGGAATCTGCATGAGAAAAGCCGGCGGCAACCGCGGAGCTCCGCATAGCAGCGGCGGGACGGAGCGAGCCGGTGCGTGGGGAGCCCGCCCTGGCGGGGCAGAAGCCCCCGGAGCGGGGGTCGGGGGGCACACGGTGGGGCAGGGCTGAAACCGGGGGGCTGCGGCGCTGTTTGCAAGGCAGGGAGGGGAAGGGGGCTCGCCCCTGTGCTTCCGTCGGGGGTCGGGGCTGAGCAGGGCACTGGTACCCCCGGGTACCCCCCGCACACGGGACCTCCAAAGCTGGGGGGGGCGTGAGGTGACTCCCTCAGGCTGTGCCCCACTGGGTCTCCCCCCCTCCTTTGTATTCGCTTGGGAAACAGGGAGGGGGGAGCGCACGGCCCGCACCTGCGGGCGGGATGAGGGATTACAGCGCTCCCCCCTCCCTGCTCACGGGCACCGTGGAACGACTCGGGGGGGGACACACGGGGGGTCTGAGGGCACCTCAGAGCCACGCGTGCCGCGGGGCCAAAGGGGGTGACAAGGCGGGGGGGCGAGGGGCAGCTGAGCGAAAAGGGGGGAGCGGTTTGCCGGGAAGAGTGGAGAGGGGAAAGCGGAGCAGGGACGCTGCTCCCTCCCTTCCACGTCCCGGGTGGGTGCGGAGTTCCGCGCCAGGACGGATCTGACACCGATGCCTTCGGCAGGGCCGAGCCCCGCGATGGAGGAGCCCTGCTGGGACCCCGGCCCAGAGCAGCAACGGGTCCCGCCGGGCCCCCCCAGCCCTGCCTGGCCCTGGCACGGCCGTGTCCCCAGCGGTGTCCCCGGGTCCTGCCGTGCCGGTGGAGCTCTCCAGGGTGCTGAAACGCGCGGCCCCGCCGGGCCCGGCCGCCCCCGACCCCGTCCCGCGCCCCCGCCTCGCTCTGCGGGCACCGGGCACGGCTACCCCTTCCACCCTCCCCTGCCTCTCTGTTGCCTTCGTTCTCTCGCCCTCGATCTTCCCTTCTCTGCTTTTCTTTTTTTTTTTTTTTTTTTAATTTTTCCCCCCCGATTTTCTCATTTCTATTCCTTCTTGTTTTCTCCTTATTTTTTTCCTTATATTTTCCTGGTTTTCTGTATTTCTCTGTTTTTCCGTTTTTTTCCCTGTCTACTTTCTTTCTTTTTTCCCAGATTTTCTCCTTTTTTTACACCCTTATTTTTTCTCCTATTTCCTCCCCGTTTTTCTCATTTTGTTGTGTTTTTTTTCCCCACCGCTTTCTCTCCTCTTGTTTTTGTTTTTTTTTTTTTTACCGTTTTTTCTCATTTTCTTTTTTATTTTTCTCCTTTTCTTTTTTTCTCTTTCAATTCTTCCTCTTTTCTCGATTCTTTCTTTCTCTCCTTCCTTCTCCCTCTCTACCCACACCCTTTGCTGCTCTATTTTTCGTTTCCCCCTCTCACCACACACACATTCCATACCGATCTCTCTGTCCCTCTCTGCTTTACCATTTTTATCCTCCCAGAGAAAGCTGCGTTGACCAGAAAGACTGGAAATGTTGTGAACACCATGACATAATTATCGGATGCCTATCGGACCCCTCCACTCTCCCAGTGTCCCCCCAGTTCTTCACCCCGGGCTGCACTGCCCAGGACACCTCCAGCTCCGGCCCTGCCGCTGAGGGAACAGCCAGAGGGATCTCAGTGCGGTTTTTTTTTTCACTCTTACAGCCGCTGCGATTAAAACCGAATCCTGGAATGCCGGTGCCTGCCCGCCCCAAGCGCTGACAGAGCGGGGCGTGGGGACCCCCACAGCTCAACCCCACGCTTGCGGGGGCCGAGAAAACCGAGTGGAGAGCCTCGAGTGTCACGGAGAGGAGACACTCGGACACTTGCACAAATGCTTCTGTCCCTGCACACACTCACCGCCCCCCCCTCGATTGCCCCTCCCGGGAGAGCGAACCGGTTGGGGAGTCCCCACCACGGCTGACCCGGCTCCCCCAGCCCTGACACCCCGGTGAAAGGCTTGGGGGTGTCCCCTTCCTGCCTGCACAGCTCTTTGTCTGCCTCATCCTCTCCTGCACACACGTTATCTCCCTTCCCTGCGTTCACCACCCAACCTGCACATTCCCTGTGTTCCTTCGTGCGTGTCCCCGCGTGTGCACAGAGCCTGCTGCACACACACGCTCCCCCTGCACCCCCAAATCCTCATCCCACACACCCCCACGGCTGGGAAGCACACCCCTGTGACACGTTTCATGCACACACACACAGAACCAGCCCTCGCACACGCACATTCCCCCTGCAACACCCATCTCGGTGGCCCTGCCTTCTCTGACGTACCCAGGCTCCGTGGGAGCCGACACCGTCCCTCAGCCCCATCTCTTTATTCAAGGGGATGAGGTTTTTCTCTGTGCAGGCCAAGGAGAGAGCCCTTCCTAGGGTTGCCTTGGGGCCAGGAGTAGGGGCTGAGAGTTTTTCCTAGACAGCTCCAACACCCATTTCACAACCTGGGTGAGAAGCAGTGGCAGAGGCATCTCATGCTGAGCAGGGATGTGATAAAACCCCCATTGCCTCGGGGAATGGAAAGACCAAATGGGACCTCTCTAACCTCATCAGCTGCCTAATGTGCAGTTCTGGTGACAGTGCTTGGACTGTCACTGTCACCTGGGCACATGGCCACCTTGCTTTCTCTCTCCTTCACTCTTCTCTCCTGCATCCCCACTTCCTTCTGTTGACCTCACTAGAAATGCGCACCTGCCTCTCCTAACCATGATCAGGACCACAAAAACAGCACCCCCTGCTCCAATAAAGGTGGTACCCTTTGGCACCTCGGTATCTTGGGCTCTCCAGGGTGTCCAGAAGGTACAAGAGAAGACCTGGCAACAGGGCCAAAGGGAAACAGAGTCCCTGGGGACTTGGGAAGCTGTTGGTTTCTTTATTTTTTATCTTGTGATTTTTTTTTATTTATTTTTTTTTTGAGCAGAAAAAATAACCAGTGTGGGGGCACTCAGGTTTAGCTTTTGCATTGGAAGCAATTGCTCACAGTGGGAGGTAGGGATGGCCAAGGGCCAGGCTGGAAGGGCCCCTCAACCTCAGCCAGTGTGCGTGGGATGGAGCCTTGAAGATGCCCTGCAGGACTGAGGTGCTTCCAAGGAGACCTCCATCCACCCAGGCCTTGCTTTAGGTGAGTCCTGACACAGAGGTGGCCTTAACCCTTGCAGTGCCTGGATGGTGACAAAGTCCCCTTGTTCCCAGCCCTGGGACTGACTGGGCAGTTACCTACGGGAATAATGAGCATTCAGACAGTTGAGGACTTGTGGCATGATCTGCTACTGTATTGTGTTCCTGTAAAGAAATGGTGTTTTGGGCAGCTTCCCGTGTGGGCTCCTGTAAGTGGGACACAAGGGAATTTGGGCAGGGAATTTCTGTGAGGTTGATGCAGGCTTGCTTGTTTTGTGAAAAAATAATGTATGTGTACGTGTCTATACAAACGTGAAGGTATTGCACACACCTCCACACCCTCACAAATTATACAGGTCAAATCCGGG